ACCAGTTTGTAATATTTGCGTCAGTTTCAGGGACTTGAATTCCCATTTATGCAGGAAATTGGAGGAAATATCAGCATGATAACCGCAATGAAAGTATTCTTCATGAAATGCAGCTTTCCCTCACATTCTGCACACTTTTGTTCTCCTGTTGCTGTGCCTCTAATTTCTCACGGGCTTGTACAATCTCTTGGAGTTCTGTGGTGGCGTAAGAATGGACTCTTAGAAGGTATCTTTAAGAGAGGGGTATGCTGTAACGGACCTGTTTCGAGTTTCTGGTACTCATCACTGAGGATCTGGAGCTGTTTATGTGGATCAGCCATGGTACCTATATGGAGGGATGTTGTATGTTGATATTATTGTCGAACTAGGGTTTGTTTAGGTGTGCGTTCAAAAGAGGGATGTTGTCAAACTTAACTTACCCACATCTCGATGGCAACGGCACTAGCGCGGAGCCTCCACATTCAACCCACCGGCATCCCATCCAACAGCTTTCACCTCACAACAACAGTCCCTGTTCTCTCACATATAATAAAGGTTGGCAGCCAAAGTTACGAAATATCTCCAGTTTCTTCAAATACAAGTTTTGTGCCACGTCTGACTGCCATTCCGCTTCCCGGTCCCTCTTTTGTTTTGCTCGCGTGGGGTTTCTCCCAGGAGGGGGAACGTCGAATCGGGTATCAAGTCATTCAGTTAGTTCTAGCAAGTCAACTAGAATTACAGGTATAATATACCACCATGAGCAATACAGATTTCCTCGGACGGGCTATAGATACCGTGAAAAAGGCCATCGAACATGATAACGCTGGCGAATATGAGAAAGCTTACCAGACGTACTATTCTGCTCTCGAGCTGTTCATGCTCGCTTTAAAATGGGAAAAGAACCCAAAATCGAAAGAGATGATTCGAGCAAAAACTGGAGAATATATGGAAAGGGCTGAAAAACTGAAGAACCACCTGGCCCGGGAACGATAATCGGAAAAAACCCAGTGCTGTAGGGGCGAATGGGAAAGTTGCACATGGTAGTGGGAAAGGAGCGTAGGTTTATCACCGACCCTTAGGCTTGATCTGTTTGGTGCCTCTGGCCTTCCTTGGGGGCCCCTTGTTCACGAATATATGTAGCTGACACTTGATGGCTGAATTAGAAAAGACGACGACGACGAAGATGCCGAAGCGAAAAAGCTGCGGGCTGCCCTGGCTGGATCTATCTTATCTGACAAACCAAATGTTAAGTGGGAGGATGTTGCTGGTCTCGATCAGGCGAAAGAAGCCCTCAAAGAGGCGGTTATTATGCCCATGAAATTCCCCCATCTCTTCACAGGCCACAGACAGCCGTGGAAGGCTATATTACTTTATGGGCCACCGGGAACTGGAAAATCGTACCTCGCCAAGGCAGTAGCTACGGAAGCGAATAGCACGTTTTTCAGTGTGAGCAGTAGTGATTTGGTCTCGAAATGGATGGGTGAAAGTGAAAGGTAAGAGAAAAGTTGCACTAGAACTATTTGTCATGCGGTTTATTGTCGTTGCCCCGGAATTGTCTCTAACTTGAACTTTCAGGCTCGTCAAGCAACTTTTCAATATGGCTCGTGAGAGCAGGCCGGCGATTATATTCATCGATGAGGTGGATGCTCTTTGCGGTCCTCGTGGTGAAGGAGAGTCAGAAGCCTCCCGTCGTATAAAGACAGAATTGCTCGTTCAAATGCAAGGCGTTGGCAAGGATTCTGAAGGAATCTTAGTACTCGGAGCCACAAACATTCCCTGGCAATTAGATATGGCTATCAGGCGACGGTTCCAACGAAGAGTTCACATCGGTCTTCCAGATGTTCGGGCAAGGGTGAAGATGTTCATGCTAAATGTTGGAAGCACACCGTGCCAGCTGACCAATGCGGATTACCGACAACTTGCTGAAATGAGCGAAGGATACTCTGGAAGTGATATCAGCGTAGTCGTTCAAGATGCACTCATGCAACCTATCCGCAAAATTCAAACTGCGACGCATTATAAAAAGGTACATCATCTTCCTCCCCACCATCCCCCTGCCTTCTTAGGCAGAAATAAAGGTGTATTACAAGATCCTAACAGAGCTCATTCAGGTAATTGTGGACGGGCAGGAAAAGCTCACACCATGTTCTCCAGGCGACAATGGGGCCATGGAAATGACATGGGTGGACATCGATTCGGATAAACTCCTCGAGCCACCCCTTCTACTTAGAGATTTCATCAAGGGCGTTGAAGTCTTCGCGCCCCACCGTGAGCGAAGAAGATTTAAAGAAAAATAACGAATGGACCTTGGAGTTCGGTAGTGAGGGGTCGTGATATATATTACATGTTTCTTTTTTAAATCTTCATATAGAGTATAGGTGTTGCTTCTCTTAATGTTTCGAAGCGTCTTTGTCCAATTCTGATGGGCGAATTCTGATGGATTGTTTAGCCCACCTTTTATCTTTACAATCCAGTTCTGTCACTTGACCATTTTGGTATTTCTTTCCTTGGATGGCATATTTATTGAGCGCCTCTGGTTTGGTAGTATTTTTCAGTCCATTTCATGCCTGGGAGACTATGATATTCGCCTACTTTTCTTCTCTTCCCACCCTTTCTTTTTTTGACAATTTGTCCTATTTATTTTTGTCTAAGTATACTTCTCGATTTTGTCTCGGCGGTTGAAAGAGGCGAACCGTTGCCTTTTATCTCCATTCCCCTCTCCATCACCTATCCTTTTTTTCTCACTTCGGCGGGGCGTTACTCATAAAGGGTATTAATAACAAGCGCCGTAGAAAATGTATATGCCATGCCATGCGTCTTATGCAAGAGACAAAAGAAAACCGTGAACAAAGAGAAATTAATCATCAAGAACTACCAATTTGCTTCATATGTATGGATATATAAGGTCTGTTTACCAAGCAGGCAACGCCAATGAAACAACGGTGGTGGAAGAGTATCATATGGAATAAGGAAGACAAACAAGAAAAAGAACAGAGGAAGAGTAATAATGCTCCGCAGAGCGAGAAGCCAAAACCCCATAAACACCGGGCAGAAGGAACCCTCAAGTATTCCGTACATGGCAAAGACTAGAGAATTTCGAACGACTAATACAAATCGAACCCAATCGCCCAAAAATCCAGAAAATTGCAAATCGAACAGAGACATGGAACTAGGCGTAGAAGAAACAAAAATGGGAAGCGTAACACGGAGTATATCAAATACTCTCAGTCAGTCAGAGCTTTCCTTCTCATACTTTCCCTTTTCTTCAATACCTCCCCTTTCGCTTTCCGAAGGCCTTCACCAAGTTTCTTTAATTTCTTCCATTCAGCACTCATCAATTGCATCCGGCAGACAGCCAAGGCCATGCATGCTACAGCTTTAAGTTTTAGACGGGCGTCAAATTTCTTTCGCGGGCTGTTGGGCTTCACCCCCATTTCAGCGATCATTTTGAGGTCGGTTTCGTTACTGTACGTACAAAGGAGGAAGGAAAACATTTCATATTAGCCACGCCTATACTTGAAAAGGAAAGGAGCAAACACAATGAACATGTCTGCCGGACAGGGACGACGTACCATGCAATCCGAACCCGTTCACCCAGCTCCATGAGCCCCTTACTCCACGCAAGATCCTGACGGAATTTCTCCTCCCGGACCAATCGGGCCTTTAACCACATAATCTCTTTCCCTAAACCTTTGATTTCCTTGGCGTGTCGTCCTTTTCGTTCCGAATGTTGCGTCAACTCTTCTAGTAAAGCCTCATATCTGGCCTGTAATGACTCTAGCTCGTGACGAGCTGCGTCTGCTTTCTTAATGGACAGTGCGCGCTCATCACGGACTCTACGGAGATGTGTTCTCAATTCATGAACACGGGTGTCACGCTCGGAAAGGCGTACCGCTAAAGATTCGGCCTCGAGAGTTGATGATTTGAGCAAGTCGTGGAGATCTCTACGCTCTTCTTCGTTTACTGAGGCATGTTGCAATTCGTGATTTTGGGTTTTTATATCTTTCATGGCCCTGTGCATGTCGAGTAGTTGGCTGCGAAGGCTCCGAAGCTCCTCTTGGACTTTAAGTGGCGTCGAAGGGGATACTTTTGGAGAGCTGGTGCTCAGCGCCTTAGCTTTGAGCTCATGATTCTCCCGCTCTAATTCTACGATGCGCGTTTTCAGGTCCCGGATGGAGGCCTTGAGTGTTGATTCACGTTCAAGTGCGTCTCTCTCTTGGCGTCGTGCATCTTCCAGGCTTCGCCGCAGGATTGAGAAGTCGGGTGACGTAGATGCTTCCGCGCGAATAGAAGCCTGATTGTCCAAGAGAGCTTCGAGTTCTTGGGTACGTAGTTCGAGTCGCTCAGCTTTGCTTTTGGCGGCAATGAGTTCGTGATCGCGTTTTTCCGATAAAATGAATAGTCTGTCTTGGAGTTGGTCAATTTCCGCAGAGAGTCGATTCTCCTTCGCCGCTGCCCGTTCGATTTCGTTATCAAGACCGACTTGTAACTTATCTTTGGTTTCCAGTAACGCTCTCTTCTCGTCTCTCAGGCGGTTTAGGTCGTTTTCAAGTCTCACCTTAGATTTTCGAAGATCGATCTTTTCCTGGTCGAGACGGTAAGTATCATCGACCCTGCCTTGAATCTGATTAATCTGACTTGCATTCATCACGTTCGGCTTCCAATTCGGCGGACGACATGCGTAGATATGATTCGATGTTCGCGTAGCTAGCTTGTCTCGAGTACTGTCTCTCTTATAGCTGCTGCACTGTTCTCAATCGAGTACCGATTCTGAGATCCTGCAGCCGCTCATCTCAGCGTAGCTGCATACACATATCATCTCAGCGTGCATTCTCTCTAGTGCTACTCGCTGCACATAATCTCTGACCGCTCATCAGCTCTGCTTCCTTTGGGTTTCTGCAGCTTGGCGTTTTAGACGCAATATCATCATTTAAGCTCTTTGATTTGGCGATTTCAGTAGTTTCTCATTCCTGCAGATGGCGTTGCTTCTCCGTTTTCGAGTTATATTTGGAGATTTTCCTTCTCGTCGGGATAGTGTTGTCCGACGTTCTGTAGTTGGGCTTACCTCGCCTTAATCCAGGA